TTCAATAGTGGCTTCCAGTGCGTCAATCGTTGCTGGTTTATCCCTGTAGACATAAGCCTTAACATGGCGCCACAAGAAATAGTCCAACGGCATTAAATCACACGATCTAGGCGGCCAATTGACGGGCCCCAAACGTGAGATAAACTGTTCACCGAACTCGCCTCTCAATAGGGCCATTGTTTCGTGTGCGGTGTGGCATGTGGCACCGTCTTGTTGATGCCACATGTCAGCCAAGTCCAGCTCTTCCATTTCGGGCAAAAAAAGTTTGTTATCAGCGCACGGTAGCGCTCGCCATTCACAGTTACGTTCCGGCCATTGTTGTGTTTGAAGAAGTACGGCCCGATGATACCACCGGCCCATAATCCACACCAAACAGTGATTTTTTAGGGATGCATTGGTAGCTCTTGCAATGCTTCTGGCTGGTCTTCACTCCAGATGCGGCAATTTTACTTGTTAACGTACCCATTCAACCAGAAATGAGCTTCGTCGCTGAACACAATTTTTCGATAAAAATGTGGATCTTCCTCCAACTTTGCCAGCGCCCATTCACCAAATGTGAAACATTGTGGGAGGTCGTGTGGCTTCAATTCTTGCACCAGCTGTATCTTAAAAGGTTTTACACCCAAATCCTGTCGCACAATTTTCCACGTAGCTGCGAACGGCGGCGAATCGACATTTCACGGTCCTCACTAACACTGGCGGATACAGCCGCAATATTTTCTTCAGTCCTCACTCTACGTCTGCGTGTTGGTGGTTTAATGTCCAATAATGTAAACTGGGTTCGAAATTTAGTCACAAGCTTCCGAATAGCTCCCTCAGTAGGCCGACCAAATTGTCCATAAATTGGAAGCAGTGCTCGATGCACTCTCTTAACCGAGCATGAATTTTGATAGTAAAATTCAATAATTTGCAAGCGTTGTTCGTTCGTAAGTCGATTCATGGTCAAATTATAGACCAAACTGAACAAGTTTAACAATGACACAAGACACGATTCACGCGTCATCTGTCAAAAACAGTGTTGCCAAAAAGATACTAGCAAAAAAGTCACCCATTACTATATTTTTATCCCTTGAGTTATAATATAAAATCACAAAATAGTTAGCTAAATTAGCCCCCTTACTACTGAAAAAACGTCACATTTCAACAAAATCAATAAGTGGTCAATTTTTAAAATGCTTTTCTTTGAAAGTTAGTCAAAGGATCAAGTTGTGCCCATGGACATTTTTCATGAAGATACTTAAAATAACATACCAAATTTTATTAAAAATCAACCGAATCTCGATCCCTCATAGAAAGAAAATGTGGGGTGCTTTTAGGTGCATTATAGAGCTGCTGCTTTTCAGTGACCCAGTTGAGCTACTCGGAGTAACTTAGCAGTGATCGGTAACAATATTGTTCCACTGCATTTTATATTCCCATAAATACACTTTCTACAGTAGTTCGGGAGAATATCTCTCTCAAAGAAAAAACCACCGGAAAAACAGCTTACGTATTCAATAATACTCCATAATTAGTAAGTTTTTTTTTCAGGGGACTGGATTTGTAAGATGCAGAAGAGGCTTAGAATGTTTTTTTTAATGATATTTTTCTAGTTGAATTAAACCAATAAATTTAGAATGAATATCCCTTATAAGCCCAATTTTATAAAAGCATTCCTACAGATTTTGCTAAAATAACCAATGAAGAATTTTCTATACACATTTAAAGTATGTATCACATTAATGCTTGAAAATTTGTTGCTTCGTATATTTCCTTAATACATATTTACGAAAATTATTAGATTTTTTATCAACATATAAAATTGACATTTAAAAATCTTTCCTCGTATAATTTCTAAATGTTTTGAAAAAATATCGCAAAAATATATGAATTATATATACCACAAATATCTATAATATTTTATGAATATTTAGGGATTATATTTATTATATATTAAAAAAAATCTTTCTTTACAAATATTCAACAAACATTTTTTAAAAGTATTTAATATATATGTAATGCTATCGAGGAGGGATGCGTGTTGAAAACGTTTTTCTAAGTTTTAAGGACAAATGAAGGGGAAATCTATGATGTCTAACACATGTCTAATTTTTGCGCACAATCACCGGGATTGGATGTGTATTAATATACCTACCAACACCAGCAAATTACTATGTATCCTCCCCACCCCCCCACAGACCCCTACATCCACATGCTTACCCTTAAAATATTTTTCAAGAATGATCAGGATCCCAAGAAAGGACAAAAAACCAGGTTTTAGCGATTTTGTATTTTTATAATTAGTAACCTTGTGTAAAAACTTCCAAGTTAAGGATGGGCTAAGAATTTTAGCACAGACCGATAGAAATGAGGGACAATGTTTTCCCTGATAATAATAATAATAATAAATAATAATAATAATAATAATATAAGTTTATTCACGTATAAACTATTGCAATTTATTCAAAATAAACGCAAATAAACTGAAGTAATCCCACAGAAGAATTTCATTCTTGTGTGTGGGAAAACATAACTTTTGCTTTGAACATAGTTAAATACAGTTAATTCATAAATTTAAGCACAACATATAACCATAAAGGTAAGTGTAATCATATTATACATATTCAAACTTAATTAACTGTCATTTAAGTGGTTTTTGCAATTTCATGTCAATTATCAGATAACAAGAATTTTCTTGCTTCAGTTATGAATTTCTTTTTATTTGAAATGGTTTTTATATGGCTTCAAAAAAAATCTAGTGAAGAGGTAACCGAAGCATCTTCGACCTACACTTTTAGTTGTAAATGGTGTTATTTTAATATCTTCGACTTATTGTTTCATACTTGTGATTTATTGAAATTAAATTTGTTTTATTTTTTAACAAATTGATTACAACACTGTAATGATGTACGTTCATGTCATATATCATCCATACAACATACCTCATTTTCGAAACTCTTCGCTATTACAATAAAAATTGTTCTAACTGTAAGTCACATATATTCGCTTCTAATAAGGAAAAGAAACAAGAATTCAAAAATCTTCGATATTTTTCAAATTCGAAACATTCGACCTCATGTGTAATTTAAATAATACAGATATCAGAGCCAACTTGTTTCTTTACAATGTACTAACATCAGTTATGAGATGCAACAAAAATACATTTAAAAAAGAAATTATTGATGCATCTGATTCAAGACATTGCACTCGTCGAACATATTCCGGTTAATGTAATGAGCTGATCAAAGCAATAATACCACAAGATTAAGGTTAACGGACGCGAAACCGTTCCAGAAAGATAAAATGCATGGCCAACGTCCTTCAAGTGTCAAGCCGTCGCCATGCTGGGTAGAAGGCTCTCCCAAGCAAAATAGCGTGAAAAGCATGCAGCATGACGCAAATGGTGCAATAGCGCTGTGCTAAAGCAATCGGCAGCGTCAAAGATATAAATGCGAATGGAAATACGGGTGAACGGGTATTGACTTTACATCGACAGCTCTCTAGCTGATAAATCGCATCAAACGGGCGGATGCGCTCTCCACATTAAAGCCTAGTTCAGACTACACCAGTACTTGTAGCTTTGTTACGCGTAATGTGAGATGAAAATTGAAAATAATTTACTGCCCCTGCAGAGGCATCTAGTGCGGTGACGTAGCTGGAGAAGCAGCGGACAGTGGCAGTTACAATAGTTTGAAGATTTGTATGATGGTTGCCTTTCGTTTTAACAATGCCAACAACGGCAGTAACTTGGATTCCCCGAGAGGCTAGATACCCTTAGATATTTCCTGAACAGGATAAAGAGCCATTTTAGGTACCACAAGAGATGATGCAGGTGGCAATGAGAATGCCTCAGATCTCCGTCCTAGAGCCATTGCTTTGGAGTGTATTCTAGACAGTTTTTCAGCTGCAGATGCTGCCAATAATCAGCATAATAGTGTCTCACGCTGATAGTAACTAGCAAGTACAGAGGTGAGCTGTAAAATGTTTCGACATTTGGGATCATTAGGATTGCCAAATGGATGGAACAGAATGGGTTGGAGCTAGCCCCTGAGAAGATGGAGGTGGTGACAATTTCGAATTCAAAATGCGATTAAGTAGCGGATAGTGTGGTTCGAAAAGACCTTCGAATGATTTATCACAAAAGGTGCACCACTGATAAAGCAAATAAGTCATGGAATACTTAAATCGGCAAATTTAACGGAAGTCCTAGTAGCGAGAGGTGAAGGATCTTGGCAGCGGTGGTAAGAGAGGCGATAACAATGGCAAATTTTTAAGCTGTTCGCATTGTCTACTAATGCCCACATTCACCGTCACTTGAGAAGTACGATTAGTGATTAATCCAGATTATTGCCGCGTTTTCATAATGCACAGATACATTTAACCGCTGCTAATCGCGTTTAGGTGTAATCCTAGCGTATTGACAGTATAATCCGAAAATTAACGGATTGGGGTTCTAACCTTATTTCGAGTTGTTGATGTCTTTGCGAAAAAGTGCTTTTTTGCACAAGTAATGCAGATCGAAGATAAGATTTCCCTGGACGAAGATGGTGACATCCTAGATATTATTCGCTTCGGATTTCTAAGACACTATTATGAACGTACAGATTTTTTAACGAGATGGACGAGCTATTGTTTTTCAGGAGATTTCGGCTCCAAAAAACACTGCCCTCAGATTGGTAGAACAAATAAAGCATCAACTCGAGTTTGATAACAATTTGTAAGTATTTTTACCAAATATTAAATTACGATAATCAATTTCCTTGTCCAGAATTGAAGTTTAGGCAAGAAGGTCTTTAAACGCCTTTTCCTCTGGCTGTGGATCTGAATCCCATTAGGTATTTCCAAGATTTCAGTCATTATAAAATTTTTGTTTTTCCAGGAATAATAGCCTACGATTTTATGCCTGCAATGTACATTAAAATTGTATTGGAGACTTTATTAGCATGATTCAGACAACAGCATCCCGTATAATTGCAAAAGTTTCAAGAGCAATAGCAGGTTTATCAAATCAATATATCAGAATGCCCAATGAAGCTGATGAAATAATAAGAGTTCAGAATGGCTTCTATAGGATCTGCAGATTTCCACGAGTCATTGGATGCGTTGACGGGACGCGCATAAAGATACAGTCACCAGGAGCTCAAGGTGGAGAAGTTTTTCATAATAGAAAGTCATATTTTTCTATAAATACTCAAATAGCTGCTGAGCCAGATTTGAGAATATTTGATATTGATGCTCGATGGCCAGGATCTACCCATGATTCAACTATTTTCAATGCCTCCCACCTAAGAACACGCATTGAAGGGAGACAATTTCAGAACGCGGTGCTCTTGGGAGATAGTGGTTACTAGCCGAAAGTCCTCCGAATGACACCTCTACAAAATCAGGCATTGTTGCCGAAAATCTTTATAATGAAGCTTATGTGCAATGTAGAAGAAGCATTAATTGGTGTTTGGCGACGTCGGTTCCCAGGATTAGCCTATGGTAGTCGGTGTCGATTAGATAACGCTACAATTGTTGCTACTGCTGTGCTAGCAAAATATGGCCGTGAATATGCTAGAGGATTTGCCTCCCTATCCAAAAGAACTCAATGGTGAAGAGCAGGATTACCTAATTTTACAAGGAGACATTCCTCATGTACATGCAGCGAATTTTGATCAAGACCCACTTAATTTTCGCCAAAATCTGATAGATAACTATTTCAGTTCTTTATAAAACATCTGGATAATAAACACACAATATGTGGAAAAACTACATACTTTTTAAAGCTTTGCTACAGTATCTCTATTGCATTGAAAAAAAGTAACATAGTATCTTAACACAAAGTAATAATTCTCATTGTAAGGCATTGGAATTTAAATTTAGTTTTTGATTGGAAATTTTTAACTGAAGCAGATCTATTTTAATTTTTCTTTCCATTTTTATAAATTCTTGCTCTTCACCTGTAGCTTTTGTCTTTTCAATAAAGTCAGTATTTTGTCTACGAGTAGATTGTATTTAGAGGCAATATCATGAAGACAACTTGTTTCGGTCTTCTTTTAGACCCCTGTGGAGTCTGGGGAAAGTCATTTGGAGAGTGATTTTAGGCCCGCACTTCATAACAGGCATCGCTCCACCTCCAGTTAAAAATCTTGGTTTTTCTCCTCACCTATTTTCCTTCTCAATTCTTTTTTCTTATATTCATACAACATTATCAATGACTCGGCTTTTTTGTATGTAGTAGAGAGAGGAGAGTTAAATTATTTTTCAATTTGGTTCCAAGCATTGCTTAAGAGGCTCTGTCGGCCTTCTTGTCATCTAATATTTTCGCATAGTCGCGCACTTTTACATTAAATAAGTGCATCTTTTCAGTAGCAGTAAAATTCGGTTCTCATTTCTTCTGATTCCTTTCCATTTCGATAACCTTCTTGAACATATAGAAACCGTCACATTTCAAAATTTTCTGACAGGATCTACAAATTTGCAATATTGACAAGATTTGTTCAACGATTAGGTAATCGCGATTACAAAGTGGTCCGTGCGTCATATTCGAATCTGCCGTTCCTGATCCGGATTCCCCAATCTGGATTAAAGTGTCAAGCGATGCATATTGGCATCTACTAACTGACTTAATCTCCATGAAACCATTAAAGAATCAGGAACATTAGAGGAACTCCAGTTACATCGTAGTAAATGAACAGACAGATCTCACCAATTCAATCTCTAGTAAGCTCAATATTGCATTTACGAGTATACAGCGTAGTGTATATTACGTGATATTTAGGACATGATATCCTACGGAATGAAATATATTGAAGCACGATATATCTTGAAGATCTTCTGACGGTGAAGGTTGAAGCTTAGCTAGGGGTTTTTCTCGCTCAAGTACGTATGCAGTCGCCAACAGAAAAAAAATATTACCCTAACTAAAATAAAATCAAAATAAAAGAGAAAGAGAGATTCTAGCATTAAGAACTAGCTATAATAGTTTAATCATATTAGCAAATTTCTCCGAAATAATTGTAAAGTCTGGTTTTATTGGTGCAAGTTGTTCAAGGGATATTTTTATGGGAAAACTTTTAAAAATATTGTATGAAGAGTTTTTTCGTTCCTGCCAACACTTTCGATTGAATCTCAAAACACGTTTCATATTGTTGCTGAATAAAAACTTTTTCCACAAAAATTGGTGTACCCATTTTATGCGTCCATATTTTGAATACCCCCTTGAACAACTTGCAGCAATAAAATCAGACTTTATAATTATTTCGCAAACCAAGGGTATTTTCGTCTAAAATGATTGGACTATAAAGCATAAATAGGGAATCAGGTATAAGAAATTATACTATTAGGGCCAATTTCACCAACAACAGTCCGTTATTCTCCACCTATAGGGTAACAGTCCGTCAAATACAGCGAATGAGCTTCAAGTTCCAATCAACAAATTTTAGCAACCAATAGCTATGAATTGTTTAAAACAAAAGACTGTCAAAGGATGAGATAACATCTTGTCATTGAAGCATCATCAGCTTATTGAATATTAAGAAATTACATATAATTCAGTCAAAATTTAAACAAATGTTTGATTAGTGAATGAAATTCATGATTTAATTACTATTGTTGATTTTTTATTCATGTCTATATTATTTTCTTCAATTGATATGCGATTTTACTGATTCAAGATCATCTACTGGGTGTTTTTTCCTATAAACCTCTTGCAGATAGCCATTAAGCACCTACTTGATGACTGGCTCTACCAAAAAGTTCATAGATATTGCTCGTTTCCAAACATTCATTTACTTGCCGTTCATCAGAACCATTATGGCACCTTAGATTGATATTCCCACAAAACTATTCTGGTTTTTTAATGTCCATACATCCATAAAGTTGAATATTTTTCGTTGTTCAGGAACTTACCAAACATCCACACTATATTCACAGCGATTTAGAAATACCCTATATGTATGTCGTAGAGCTACCAGCAAACCGAAAACCTGCAGAAAAACTAGAAATTTGCAATATTTTCCTTTTTTCACTGAGTACATATTCTGGGCTATATTTATATTAGACGTTATTTGAATCACAAAACATATAAACTGATTTGAATAACAGCTGATTATCTCCTGATATTTTAAAAATAACCATATCGACAAGTGACACATAATTCTGTGGGATCCGTCAACACTTCATCCCAGTGGTAGTGGTGTTGGTTATCGTTACTTTCGAGTACTCGTTACTAATCTTTACTCTTCTACAAAGTAATCGTTTATTGTATTCGTTACTTTGATTACTATGAGTAGTATGAGTATAACGATTTGGCAATGTGCGTCGTGTGATTAATGTCGAATTGAAACAAGTTGAATGGAACCGAATCTTGTAAGAAAATAGACGACCTCAAAATTTGCAAAATGTTATAAGCATAGTTTATTCAAGACTATCGTGTTTAATGCAAACATTGAATCTTCAAACAGTATGCTTATCGAGATGAGTTATCATAGGATGGAGTGTCATATGACTCACATGAGCCTACAAACTGAAAATACATTGTATTTACTAGAAATAGTTAAAAACATGTCTTTTAGTCAGAAAGATGATCTGTATATGGGCTTAAGGAAATTCGAAGTGGCATGTGACTTTTCGAAGCATTTCAATTAAGCATAATGTACCAGTATAAAGAATTCTATGTTGAGCTTGGTCTAGACATACTATTGGTGGTCATACTGAATTATATACGTAATTTGTTTAGCAAAACAGTGCATGAAAACACGAGTCAAATTGACATAACTTTTATTATTGTGGTTTTCCTGAACGGTGGTGTTACCTTGTTGTCGCTTTTCTGCCTCATAATACTGCCGAACTTTGATCCGATCCAATCGACTACTTATTCCTTTTGAGGTTTCCAAGATCACAACAATAAAAGCGAATTTGTGTCACGGTGTAAATAGGTAAACTTCAGATTTAAAAACAATTACCAAATTCTATGTCCGCCAATAAAAAAAAACGAGTTTCCAGGTTTCCATCTGAATTTGGGATGTCTGGCAACCCTGGTGCATGAGCGAGTGCTACAGTCTAACCAGCGTTACCACTCAACGATCAACGATTGTGCAGGTACCGGGTAGGGATACGGAAAACAGAGTAATCAAAGTAATCATTTCGTGCTCGGATTGGTAGTCGTTACTTCGGGTATCTATGAGTAACGAGTACTCGAGTTTCGTATGATTACTCTTTCAGCACCACTACCAGTGGAGCAAACTCTGCCAACTGTCTAAATAAACTTTATTAATTCCAAGTCTTATTTTTGTTTTACTGTGCCAGCTTAGATATTCAAATACGACCAGGAATTATTAGCCGCCTTGCTATTTTAGGCCTTCAATAACTCCTTATTTTAGATCTCTCCTTATTTTGTTTTTCCACGCATTCATGGTAGAAAGAAAAATATATTATCGAATATCGATACCGTATACCGTGCAGCAGGCACGCCCATCAGTACTTTGACAGATTGCAGAATGTTGTCAAGGTGGCAATCGTTATGTGTTTTTGTTTTTGTCTGAAATATGCAAGTAGACTTTGTGTATTCATTTTTATTTTTATAGCGTTTCCAGAACTGCATATTTCGAAACGATGTCAAGGGCCGGCAGGGGAAAATCTTTCTCTATCGTCGCCATCCCTAAATTGTATCCCCACCAGTCACCAGTCAAAAACCTTAACCACCAATATTTTATCACTATTTATAATTCTTTTTACCTCTTATTTTTCATTATGCACCTCGGAGATGTAGGGATTAACATGTTTTACACATATCCGTGTTTTAGGATGAGGACGACTATACTGTTTTGATTGCTTTGAAGAAATTCATTAACCCATGAATTTATAACAAATGATTACTATTATGATGTAAAAATGTAAAGAGAGATGAGGAATTGGTTGGAATACATTTTATATTCTATTTTCTTGCAAATCCGCACAATTCAACAGGCATGTGTAGCTATAATGATCACATAATATACACACAGTATATTGAACTTAACAAATTTCGAGATTGCCATGAATTAACAAACGACCAAACCTGCTGCCAAATTTAACAGCTATAAAATCGACCTATTATTTCTCCCATTCCAATTCGCTGAGGGGATAACGGATGGTCAAATGTACACCTATAACATAAATCAAAATACATGAAAGTTGTCCTGTTTTCTCTGTACAAAAGCATCATGTTGGAATCAAAAAGTAGTCTTGTTTATAATTCAGTCGAATTTTCACGATTTTATTCAACATTTTAATAGAAATCACTGATATTCTGAGACCTTTGACAGCTTCCGTCAAATTGCATTTCGATAAGGTATTTTCCTATTGGTGAAATCGGCTCTTAGGCTTGTATTCATGCTAGGACTT